CAAAACTAGGATGGCTCAAACTGGAAATTGGACGGCCAATAAAATCATGCTAAAGAAATTAAGGGTTTGCATTTAAAGCAAGAAAGTTAGGTGATGGTTTCGGCCTCACTCGTTAAGACCGGAATCAAAATTTCAAGTTTCTAAAACAACTGCAAGTTGGGAAACTTATAATACACGGTCTACGTAACTCACCCTGTATAATAATAATCGCGTAAAACATAATTTTATAATTTGAAAAACATTCAAGAATAAAATGAATTATTTTTTAACAACTCAATGCGTTGGCTGCTGGTCCTTTCAACTGTTGGAGTGGGGTTTTCCTGTGCTTCTCTCATCTCTAGATCATATTTATCGCAATAACGGTTAAATATTTATCACATTTGCCCTGTTATACTTTATACCCTGTCTAATACGGCTTCTTCAGTGCATTCATTATACGAGAATCGTTTTGGGTGGCAAGCTCAAATTACGGAGCTCAGTTGGATCGAGTATGTTTTAACGAACCCAATTTTTTAATGAATCCTTATTAGAATTTTGATAGATTTATTGAGATCAAATTATTATACATCAAATTAATAAGGGTGGTCCGAAGCCCATGTGCCAAAATATCTTATACACGTACGGTATGGAATTTCATATTGGGTACGTGCAACCCATGCGAAGCTAATTAAAAATCTGAATCCAATAAAGTCTGTGCAGATATGGGTGGGATAAAAATATAATGAAAATTAAATATGTAAAATATGAAAGTTGTAACTCAATGGATTTTTCCAGAAGAAATACTCTTAATAAGTGATAGAAAATACTTGGCAATTCTTTAATAGTTAACTAAGTAAGTTTGTAGATATTAACATCGCTGCTATTAATTGTTTGTTTAAAAAACGAAGTTTCAAAGGACAAAGTTAAAGGAGGCTTCCTTTATATTTTTTTTCTTAATTGTCTTTTTAAATCATCTGAGGATAACACACATAATCCAGAGCTATTTTACTTTAAAAAAATTAAGCTGTTACAAGTTGATCATAAAATATACACTGCAGACGTTCCCAGCAATCCATATCTACTAATAAAATATAGCTAGTAAACACCGTTTTGACAGCTGAAAGTATAGAAAGAACAATGCCGTACGATATATGGCATCTTATCTTTTCCTGAATCTCCTTCGTGATTATCAACTGTTTTGAACACGTGCAATCTCAGATTCGATTTGGTTCACTATGATGAAACAATGGTTGCGACAAAGGTTGTTGCACGTGCCTTACTAATTTGGTTTCACGTTTTTCAAAAACTTTGAAATGCAAGCGTAAAAACCTCTCCAAAATAGGATATCGAAACGATTCGAATCGTGAAAGCATCCTAATTCCAAAAATATTTTTGTAAATTCAAGTTTTTTTTGTATCAAAATGATGCGAATACTTGTTAAGTTATGATTATTTAAATTTTAGACTAAATATATTATTTCCATAGATCTGAACTTATTTTGAATTAAACTATAAAGCTTAATAATTCAAAAGCAATTAATTCAATTATGAAAAATCCTCAATTTCGATAGAATGTTTGAAAGCGCTGTTTAAAACAATTACAATCATGAAGTTTCTCTAAAATATCTGCTAACTTTATTCAATTATTTTAAATACATTTTAATTACGTATATGTAATGATAAGCTTATCTTTCCTGGGTCTCAGTCAAAGTGTGAAGTCTAAATTTTTTTGAATATCGTTTATTTCATTACGTTTCGGTGAGACAACAGCGCCATCATCTGATTTAAAATTTACAGAAACTCATGTTTGGTAAAAATCGACGTTCTTTTACGTCTTTGACTTCTTGAAACCTTAAATTTGTCTGAATTATTTTCTACATTTGCGATGTAGCAGATACCATTCTCGCAAATGTAGAAAATAATTCAGACAAATTTAAGGTTTCAAGAAGGCAAAGAGCTAAAAGAACGTTGATTTTTACCAATCATGAGTTTCTGTAAATTTTAAATCTGATGATGGCCCTGTTGCCTCGGCGAAACGTAATGAAATAAACGATATTAAAAAAAGTTTTACTTCACACTTTGACTGAAACTCAGGAAAGATAAGAATATCATAACAAGTACACGCAGTCAGGAAAATAAATCTGAATAATTTAAATATATGTATATACAATATTTGTTTTGTTAAGAATTTTCACATGATTTTTACGATAAACTAGTGTAGGAATTTTTTTAAGGCATGATTTACATGCACTTGGGATTGTAGATGCCAAAAGAAGAATTTAATTATTTTTACCCGATAATAAAATATAATAGTATGACAATATAATAAACACATCAAAGATGGTTAATTTCAATGCACTGCAGCCAAACTAATTAATTTAATAATTCAACAACTTAAAGCCAATTAAAAGGCGGTTTGGCCCTGGCGGAGATGAATTCAACGATACGAATCTGCATGTTCTCCTTATTTAAACAATTTAAAATAATAAGGTTCACGATCATTAATTTATTTCACTGGTTGGCAAACTTCACTACGTGATACAGGCACGAGCTGTAGAGTCATGAACTTTGATGGTCTTTTCAGTTCTTGTCTATTTCAATAAAGGATCTGTTTGTTGTTGTCGAAATGTTGTTACCTATTAGATTAAGTTGAAAAGTATTTCACAATACATTCATTAGATGCTGCAAAAGTCACAAATTGGTGCCAAAAGTTATCGTTATGGAGGCTCAATTGCTTTATAAAAATTGCATCTAATGAGTGGTGCTTTTGACGAAGTAATAAGAACGGTTTAAGCGTTTCTTTTTTAATTTCTTAGGCTACTGTTTCATGACTTTTATGGTTTTTTTTTAATTACGCAAAGTAAGTTTGACTACTTATAAAATGGATCTGCTACAACTTCCAAATGTGACTTTTATAAATGTTCGTATGAACACTTTTCTTCTGAACCTAAAAATACTTGGCACCCGGCTTCAACTTTTTCTGAAAATATTTGTTGATTTCTAGTTTATTTTTTCCATTTGATTGAAGAAAATTGTCGCTTTTCTTTGTTGTAGAATGGTTTACCACAAAAAATGATTAAGCCAGTTTTAAATAAGAAATTCCAATTAAAACTGGCAGAAGGCACAGGTAGAAATTGGAAAAAATGAGATAAAGCAAGTAAATAAAGCAAGTTTTTAAAATTGTTATCCTCTTTGGGCAAAATTCCTTTTGGGGAATTTAGCAATACAAAAATTACTAGAAGTCTTGAAAATCCATTATGTATCGGACAAATTTCGTTCTAAGGTTAGAGAACATGTATTTAATTAAACTTAAATACAATTCCATTGCTTTAATGTTACATATTCACACGACTTAATATCAAAAACGAGTGCCTTAATTTCCTTTCAAGTTTGCGCAAATATCCTGTATTGCAGCTCTGCAAAGATCTTTCGTCGACGATTTTGTCTCCAATTAAAGCATTCCGTCAAATATTTTTAACCAATATGCATTCAAGCAATCGTGCAATAGTAGCAATTATTCTACGGTTAAATATTACATAAATTTCAATATTAGCTACAATGTAATGTACGATTTTAGGTTTAGTTTTGGTACAGTGAAACATGAAATATTATATAATGGTAGTAAATAATTATCATGAATTGTTCAGACAATTATGCAGATATTTACTTTGCTTCATTAACGTTTTTGGTTAAATTCTTTTACTTCTATGCATAGAAATTTGCAAATTAACACACAAAAATTTGTATAACTAAATAAGAAACTAATCAACTTTTTGCAATTTTTGTACAATTGCAAGCAAAATGTGTTACCTCTTTGAAATGCGGGTTAGTGACTTGAATGAGATGAGATAATATTTATTAAGCACTTGTGAATTGTTCATTCGAAGAAACGGTTTGGCACGAATCCACCATTCAATTGTTTAATCAAGCAATTCAAATTGGCAAAGTAAATGCAATTAAGAAAATTAAATACAGATGTTTATTAAACTTGTGAAACAAATTAAGCACTTTTACGCGAAGTGAAGACTTTTGTTGTATTTCTACTATTTGAAGTTACACTATGGGTTTAGTAGAAGGTAGTAGGTGTTCGATTACTATTTGGAAGAACTTGGAATCTGTTTTAATCTACAGAAACGCACTTGTATGTTTTATTAAATACATTGGTACTAATATAATACAATTTTTTTATTTATGAAGTTAGTATGTAAATAAAGAACATCAGATATATTTTAAGACAACAGAAACACTTCTTCTGAAGAAAGAGTGAAAGCTATTAGATCGCGAAATGTGCCATCACTTTGGGCTTGAATAATCATAATTCAGACATTGCATAGTGGACAACGCCCATACCTTCTTCTACGTTCCACAAGTGTAAATGTTACCGTTGAAGCACTCTCTATTTCAAGCTTTCGGTCCTAAGGTGCTAGAACTGTATCAAGAGTTGTACCGGAAACCATTCATCCATGTACAACATTTCTCCCAGCTTATATAATCGGCTATTTAGCCGGACCATTAAAGACTTCGATTAGATCGTCGAACAGGCTAATGGGCAGTAAAGATCGTAAAAGTCCATTCATAAGCATAAATCGCTAAAAAACTGATCGCGAGCCGAACAGACTTTCACTGGGCCAGGCCGGCACGAGCTGGACCCATTTGTACATGATGTGAAGTCGGGAAACCGTTTGAAGCATCCCATTTGAAATTCGTAGTAAATTTATTTCAAGAGTACGAGTATCATTAGGAAAAAATAATTGATTTGATTAATTAGTAGAACTAACTGAGTGGGAACATATCCTTTAAATCGACGAGGTTTATTTAAATTTTGTTATGATGCCATTATCAACTTATTCAGCAAATGAATCAATGCTTAGAATTTTTCGAATTGAACTAAATTTATTCAATTTTTTACCATTGATTTTTATGAGTTAATGCAAGTTTTTCCTAAAATGAACAATCTAAATAACATTCGGTTTGAAATTTTTTAAAGACGCTTTGGACTTGGATTGAAATAACACAGCTAAATGTAAAAAATACATTTAGTAACTTTTAATAACATGGTTTTATACATAAGTATATGATGTACATTATTGATTAGAAGGTATATGCTTATTATAAATTAATATTGTTTACATGGTATTACATTACTGATGTGAAAGCCACTAAATATAAGCAGATACTTATAATCTAGCGAAACATCCAGCAATGTTCATGCTGCACTGACAAGAACTTTACAGTGTAAACAAAAAAAATTAAAATATTCTAAATACAATAAATAAGGAAAAATTAAGTGTCGATTAATTCCCCCGTAAAAGTTTCTCAAATTCCTCATCCACGTTTTGAATTGTTTCACCATTTTTCAAGATTTCTTCTAATATTGTATCTTGACTTTTTGATAGTTCTTCTTGGCTGTCTGCGAGTTCAACAATTTCAACTGAGTCTTCATCTTTTGGATCTACCAAATTAAATTATTCTTATACGTATGATTAATGATATCCCGTCCATTCCCAGTCAGTGTATTTGATATCTTGAGTTGTGTACAAGAAGGTGATAAACAGTTTCAGTGAACTTTGAACCTAGCTTATTTGAGATTTTCCAAAGGTTTTGACAAGATAGCAACTATTTTTATTACTGCTTAAATTGAAATATTTAAAACAAATAAATTGGTTTCAAAAACACAATTTTGAGTAGCCAATCTTAATACTTCCTAAAACATTTTAATTTTAAAATGTATCTTGTGCAATTGATTCGCTTTTGTATGTCATCTAATCTTCAAAATTTGTTTTACAATAATTTGTTTAATAACTTAATTGTTTTTGAAATATTGGTAAACTTTGGAAAGCAAAAAAAAATATTCCATAAATTATTTTTATTTATGTTATCTTTGTGCGGCACAATCGGGGCATTATTATTTGATTTTCTGTAATAACTCAATACAATCTAATATAACTTTGATTTGATTTTGAGATTAAGGTTTCAAAAACTTTTAGAAACTTGTAACTTTTTAAGTTTCCGAATCGAAACTATCACGTTGGACAAAATAATCCCGAACAAAAAAATCAAAGTGATGTGTCAATATAGAGTAGTTGTTGTGAATGTAATACGCTTTGTACGCACAAGCATCTGTTTTTCTCTAGTGGAAGTGCTTTGATAGTGTACATGTGAACACGAACATGCATTAACTTACTACTGATTGTTATAATCGAATATGAATTGGGTTCTTTAAGAGCTTGAAGATAATTCATACTGGACAACTGAGACGAAGATGATGATAAAATTCGCTGTGAAACTCGAGTGGAAGATGCTAGAAAAACATTGCGAGAGCAAATTTAACTAAAAAAATGACTCCTTGCCATTGGGACTTACTGTGCTGCAGTGCTGTATTTTTTTCAGAGTATGACACAGACATTTTAGAGGAACTGCTCAAGTGTTTATTTTGATTTTCAAAATATGAAGCACCTACTTAAGTTTCAAACAAACATATTAATCACATTTGAAAGTATATAAATTGATGTGCAATGCTTACCTGCAGTTAAGCTTACGGATGGTGAATCCAAAATTTTCATAAAAGTGTCAGTTTTGCTTTGAAATCCACCTTCGACTACTTCGCTCGTTTCGGACTTCGCGTTTTCTGAACAAAATAAATCATTATCAACGTTAAACAACTTTCACAGACATTTTTACCTATTGTGATTTCACCGCCATTGTACAAGTCAATGGGGACTTTGGAGGGACTCTCTGCTGGCCCAGTAGTATCTAATAACCCATTATTTAAAACTTTGTAAGACAGAACGTAAACAATTTCCAACATACATTCCGTTGTTTTTACATTACTTTCAAGCTGGACAACTAGGTTCTAAAACTACTACTAACCATTCAATTCACCATAATTTTCTATTCTCAGTTCCACAGGTAGCTGAAGCGTTTTCCGTTTAGAATGAGTTAGATCGGATTTTTTTTCAACAATTTGGGCAGTCTTGCTGCTTTTAGCAGGTTCATCTTCATACTGCTTCCCTGAAAGTGAACATTGGCGGAATTCATTAATACTGGTTTCATTTGAGGACCTGTATGGTCAGACCTATCAGTTCCGTTGATACTGCCAATATGGAATTATTCGTTTTATTTTTGTCGGTGTCATCTGTTACTTCTGCTAGTTGTGTGATTGCAGCTTCATGATTCGTCAGATCTACAAAAAATACCTTCCCATCAGAGTTGTATTATTTTCTAGTGTTTTGCAAAGCTTTTCTGTTCTTTTGAACACAACAAGAGCCCAATTTTGTTTGCATTTTTAACATTACCTTTCACATTAGTCTCCTCAGTCAGTGAAATGTTGTATAATACTGGTTCAATTGTAATCACATCTAAAAGATAATTATTAGACGTAGAGGCTCCACAAAGCTTTAATATTTCTTCAGTTTAATTTACTTTTTCCAATACTTTCCTTTGGTGATCTCAATTTTTCAAATTTAGCAAATATTAAAATATCGTTACCTTTGCTCGTTTGCTGTTTCTCTGCGTCGGTTGACTGAATTGAATCTTCAACAATTTCTGGTGTACGATCGGCAGTGGTATACCTGACTGGCTCAATTACAGTCTTAGTAACTGCATGATTCGTATCTTCATTGTTTTCGACAACTGTGCTGGTATTGATGTGCTCTAGGTTTAAACAGAATATTTTGGGTGATTAATACATGTAAAACATATAGAATATTAATCATATTAATCGCGAATGTATTAAAATCATGTACACTGAGCTCTCACCAAATGTGTTTTTCAAAACACCCACTATACCGGGCGTTACAACTTGTTCAACTTCAACTGACTGCTCACTATCTCCATTGGAACCTGTAAACGTACACGTAAAATTAAATATATTTATTTTTTCGTTATTTTAATAGCGTTACTATTTTCAAAAGTTATCTTAATAAACTTTGATTTTCTTACCTGTTGAATAACCAGTAGATTCAATGGACACAAATTCGTGAATTTCGTGTTTGTTAACATTTATTTCTATACTTTGCTTCTCAACTAGAGATGTGTTGACTGCTTCTGTTAAAAAATAATAACTTACCACCGTACAAAAATTATTGTATTCCACTTGCCTTGCGTTTCTTCAATATCAATTGCACTTGCTGAAGTTTGTGGTGCTATTACATATTGTCTTGGTTCAGGTTTCTCTATATTATTGCTGTTAAGTACTCCTTCATCATTTCCTTCAAAAACAAACTTATAACTGTCGTAAAACTTATTGTATTGGATAACAATTTAAAACTATTTTCTTAATCTGGCTCTTAACTCAATATACTATTTCTAATAGAATATTCTGAAATTAAATCTGAGAATGATCAGGAAGACATATTTACCATCGAATGCTTTCTTTAAAATTTCCACTTTGCCCTTAACAAGTACATCTACAAATTCTTGGTGGGCTTCGATGGAATGTGCGTCTTCTAAATTGTCTGCAAAAGTATTTAATTTGATGCGAAGAATGTAAGGGATTGAACAATATAATTAAATTAAATAACCGCTAGACCTCAAAGGCATAATTTCTGATAAGCAAAATGAAAATCCTTTACGTATGTATTATTTAGAAAATCCTTAGTCCTTACCTAAAATTACTTGCGTTTGATTCACAATTTCGTGCTCATTATTTCGAACTTCAGGTTTAACTAGTGGATCTTCCGAATATAAAACAGGTTCGACTTTCTCGTTCACAACATGCTTTGAGTCTTGCTTGTGCTTGTTGTTTTTAGTTTCTTCTGAAAATATGCATTTTGCTTGTTACTTCAATTGATTGTCGTCAACTAATTGTTGCTCTTCTCTCAGAAGGACTAATAATAACAGTCCACTGAGACTTTTTAAAGTGATTTGATTTGAATATGCTTTGAATTGCTTACCAAATGTCTTCTTCAAAAGTTCTACATTTCCTCCACTGACTTTTTCAAAAAACTGAATGTCTTTTTGCTCTCGTGCTTTAACTGTTTCTAATGTCTGTTCTGCAAAAGTATTGTTATGTCAGTTTTTTTTTACGTTGCGGCTTGTGGGCTTAGTTTAAGTGTCTTTTAATAGTATTTTTGTTAATTTGTTATTTGAGGTTGAAACCAGGTCATTCTTTTTGTCTTTGCCTAAAGTTTGATCAAAAGTGATTGTTTCATTCTTCAACTGTTTGAATTTCAATGTCATGTAAGAATCAAATAATGTTTGATATTTTTTTTCTCGCAGCTTAGTTTAGAATTGTAACCTTCTTACGTTGCATCATTAGTAATTAAACATGTGCCATAAAGATATTTTTTTCAACGCACCACCATTGTTGAAAGTCTTTAAATCTCAGCATCAAATAATCACCTGTGTTAACACCAGCATCAGCAGACGTGGATGATTCTCTTCTCACTTCAATTGAGTCTTGGTTAAAATCATCATTATCATCATCGCCATCTAGCTCTTGACTCAAATCGACCTGTCTGACATTCCTGTTTGTTTCATAAGATAGGCTTGCTACTTTCAAGTCAGATAAACTTTTACTTTTATTCAAGTCACCATTTTTCTCTATATCCACATTTCTGAGCAATCCGACGAAGTTCATATAGTTGCCTGAAATAGTTCTCGTTAGCCTAAATGGTGAAAAGTTCGTCTGCGCGTTTGGCAGATTTAAGTCATAAGCTGAGCCATATACGTTTGGTTTTTTTGTTAGTAACGCCAGACCTGCAATCATTGTTTATTTTTAGCGAATATCTTATCTGTATTGCTTAGCGTTTAAATTTCGAGAATACTTAAAATGACAATTGTAATGTAAGTGATTTGGACTTAGATACTGATGAAGGTTAAAAAACATGGTGATTGAAGTGCTCAGTGAGGAAAAATGAAAGTTTACCTACCTTCTCCGGATTCCCTTCGACTATCCTCGAACAAACTTTTCAGTTTGGATACAGAAACATTGCGGATGTTTTCCGTTTGCACGTCTCTGTATTCTTCGATGTCTTTTACAGTTTCCACATACAAAGTGGGATCAACAGAACCTTCGCTGATTTTTTCTTCTTGTGTATAACCGGTGCCATTTCGATTTGATGATGTTGTTGATGTATTTGTAACACTGTCGTCTTCATTCCCTTCTTCGCTTTCGCTGATAATCTCTTCCCTTTGCTTTCGCTCTTCAGTTTTGTCTCTTTTTGTTAGGACATATCTGGATGTTTTTAAGTTTAGGGACTGGGACCGGGTCACTCCAGAATAAGCGGCCGCAGTGACATGAATTGCTGGCTTCTCGTCTCGTTTAAATGAAAAAAATCGCTTCAATTTGGAAACTGCGGAAGAGCTTTTGGGTTCTGCTTCCGGATCATTTTGAACTACTGCGAGAGGTGGAGTTTGGGATTCCGTTGCATCTTCTGATTTTTTCAAGTCTTCTGATTGTGCATCCTCTTGCTTTGAAGAAAATTCTATGGAGTCCTTAGTGGAGTTTAAGGATTCTTCTGATTGAAATCCACTATTGACTGTTGAGTGACTTGTAGTTGAAGTCACTCTGTGTTCTTTATTTCTTAGAGATGTGCTTGAATGAACATTTTCCTCTTTTCTGATTGCGCTGATGTACGTCCTTCTGACGCCTCTATAAGAGTGACTGCCATCAGTAGGCAATTTCAAGTTTAGGATAGTTGCCAATTTTTGAGTCTCACCAATTAACTCTCGCTTCTTTTGTATAGTACTTTCGTGGCCTTCAGGGTCGATGCTCACAATATTAGTCAAAACGCTAAATAGTTGTTCTTGAAATGCCACATGCGTGTCCTTCTCGTACACTTCATAATAGTTCAGATGGGCTTCAATTTTCACCAATTCCTTTTCTATGTCCAATATATTGTTGATTTTCAATTCGGGTTCACGGAAATTCTTGTAAGATAACACATTGCCTATTGATTTGGCACGTTGGCGTCCTTCATAATAATATTCCTCGAGTGGATCCGTATGAGACACTTGACGCTCGTAAGCAAATATCAAATCTTTCACTTTTGCTGAGTTAAAGGAATCTGGTGATTCGGCCATTTTTTCACCACGCTATAAACTACAAATTTTGATACTCTACTAACGCGCTCTTAATAAAGATGAAAATTTAGTCTTTAAAACCTGTGTTGCTATTTTTATGATATGATTTGGATCGCGTTATCTGGCGCATTGAAAGCTTTATCAGTTATTAGCAAATAATTAGTGTAAAAAGATAAATGTTTGTGACGATATAACTAATTTCAATTAAAAAAATGTGCGATTGATTGGGGGAAGTTTACCAACATTGTCAAACACTTAAAAGACTGTTCTAAAAAAACATTTAAAATACTGTTTTTCGAATAATTGTGTTTTAATATAGTACATTGATGCTGCTAACTTTTCCTTAAAATCATTTTACCATTTTAAGATAATTTGGGAATGGAGTGCATTTAAATTATTTCAAGAAATTACTGTTTGACAAACTAGAGTGTACTGATACAATTTTGAGAAAACAGTTACCTAGAATTGAATAATAAAGATAATTATCTTCCATAATGAAATTGTATTACGTATTTGCACAATAAAAGAGATTGATGCGATTCATTATGTCGTAAATAAACCAGATTTTTGATTATGATAAATCAGGTTTGATCAAACTGTTACTAATTTTACTTTAAAATGTGATTTTAGTTTTGTCTGAAAATGGGCATGATTCATTCTAAAAATCTGTTAAAAGTACTTTTTAACAGATAACATGACTGACGTTATTAAAACCTGCAAACTTTAAACTCGAATTTTCAAGAGTAGATAAAGCAAGTTGCTCCTTCAGTTTAATAGTTCTAGTTGAAATTGCAATTAACACATTTAACACATACTTATGTGTATGCCGATAAAGTGTCATAAAAGAATACGTAAACTCAAGTAAAATTAAATTTAAGTTCATAATTATCGGGTATCGGTTACATTGGATGAGAGTAAAATTTCATATTACTTTTCGCACCTTTCGTCAAGTAACCTTAACGTATTTTTTTTTGCAAAATACGGAAGGAAATAGAGAGCGAGTCTTCTAGTTCCTAAATTAATTTTTATAATGTTTCATTGTCATCTTATTAAATTAAAGATTGTAATACAACAAATGTGTAACTCGTAGAATATTCGGTGGCGTAGGTTTGAGTGTTTTAAATTGATAATTTTCATTCATTTCTTCAATAAAATTTAATACAAAATCGTTTCTGATTTTACCAAAATTAATTTTTTAAATTAATAGATGATCGTTTTTAATTCCCACATTACTTTGGGTGCATTCGATAATTTTGTCAACAACCACATCGAGAGCGGAAATTATTGTTTACTTATCTATAATTTTATAAGACTTGCTCTAGTCAAATATAACTGTAACATCAGTAACTGTTGACTCTAGTTCTCAGACTTTAGTGCAACGGAGACATTTGACGGTGATTTTTTTATCATTAAAATCATTTTCCGGAATCAAACCGCAAAGTTAAAAATAGTCAAAACCGGAATAAGGCAGATCTGTATACTATCAAACTTGCTGTTCAATATCTACTTTATTCGACTATTTAAGGAAGCTTTGGAAAATATATTACCGACTTTGCATCTGCATAACTGAAGACTCAATAACTACAATCAGATATGCGGTGGACACAGTGCTTTTGGCGAACACAATTGAAGATCAAACTTTTAACCGACAATCTCTCAAACTTTGTAGTAGCTAAACTCAAAGCAAGTGAAATGTTGATAAGTTCTATATTGTTGAGGCGGATTCATTTTTTTACAAACTTCTTGTTGGGTATTTCGCCTCAAAAATTTTTGTCTTTAAAAAAGACAGAATTTTCTCACGTCTAGAAGAAGAAGACGTGGGGAAATTCTGTTCAAAAAATTTTGAGGCGAAATACCCAACAAGAAGTTTGTAAAAAATGAAATGTTTATATACAGTCAAATACATGAAATATATTATTACAGAGGATCTAAATCCGGACTGCGCGATAGAATACCGAATCGATATTGATATGAAAGAACATTGCCATTTACTTTCTGAATCTATTTTTTAGGGTTTGTACAGAATCTAATTTGAATAGAAAGTTTTTAAATTTCGATTTCTAACGTGCTTGAGTGCAGAAAGTAAATTAAAATTTGTAAAAACATTTATATGCTTCAAACTAAACATTAAATGTTAGCTCTAAAATATTATTACAATTATCAACCCATAACCGTACAAGCGCTGCTTTTAATGAAACTGTTATTTACACATGCACATCACTAAAAGTTATTATTTCATATTTACCTGGACTTATATTAATTATATATCTTATATTTACTATTGAAGTTTTGAACTTCTTACCGAAATACAGTGAATTTTCACAGACGTCCAAATAACTTCACTTTATGTCGAATTATATCCAACATAAAAAATGCTAGCTAGTATCACCAATCATAAAACAAATTGCCGATACTTTAACTGTTCGTGAACATCTAAAAGCTCACAGGAATGAAGGCATTAATCAGTGATAGCAGTTGTTACGAAACTAATTTTATTGTCAATGAGTATTTCAATAGATAATGCCATATCATTGATCAAATGTAGTCACTAAACTAGAAATAAACTAAAATTATATTCCAATATTGTCCAATTGATAGTGTTGAATAGACAGTTTTGATATTACTATTATTATTAGATATGCTGCGATAATATTTTATTTTTGAAATTCACTTTGAGGGATTTGGTTTATTGTTTTGGTATTTTTTTAAAGAAAAAATAATTTGGCGTAAAATTATGCATGGCGACAGCAATAATACATTTTATTTCACCAAAAATAGTATTTTTGGAATTTCTTTAATCACTTTTAATTACTAAGAATACCTTTCTTCATTACTTTATAAGGTAATGTTGATGTGCACTTCTCTAATTAAAACGTTATTTTCATCTTGAACATGAACTCTCCTTGTCTGAGGAAGCCAGTGAAACAATTAAGATAGAAAATTACGTCTCATTTCAGTCTGTTCAGGCTTTTATCTCTATTTCATCATTATAAAGACCATCTTCTGCATAAGTATCCTATTATTCTTTCAAAATTACTCTAGATTACATCTTGATTTAGTCGGACCGCCCACGTTTCGGCATATTATTTACTTAAATTGCTTTGCATGACGACTTGAAGATAAAAAATCAGTAATTTGAATTGGTATGATCTCGTAATATAGCTTTCTTCAAAGTTTCATTTTTGTAATAATTTTTGGCATTCCGTTTGTTAACCTTAGAAGAATTTCAACTTATTCCATTTTACTCAGTTGATTCTTTAGTTATTTTCACTGTTAACTTACGCATCGACGCCCCAATTTCTTGGGGCCAATACATATTTGGATGTGTTATTTTATTTCTGAGCCAACCCATGACAAAACAAATGTAACATAAATTTTTCTGAATATAATATTACGAAAACAAAACATTTTTGCTGCTGATAAATGGTGATTGGTAAAAACTCTGACATTTTTAATGTTCTTCAGCATAAGATCTAAACGGTAATCTATGTTGCGGTTGTGGCTGATTTCGAATTAAGAACGCTTGGAATTTGCATGACACAAGGCGAGCGTATAAAGCCAGTCAAAGATATTTGTTCAAACGCTTTTATTCAGATTACAATAATTCGCTAAATGGAATACAATGCGGTTTGCAATTCATAGAACTCGTGTCGCAATTAGTCCTTTGTTGCATACTATATTTGCCGTAATAATGTTTACACGATATCTTTATGTAAATGAGCGCCTGATATGATCTTTTCGGTGATACGGAGTTCACGAACTAATGTTGTCCGGATTACTTGAGGATTTGATAATGTCTTGAAGTCATGGGTGGACTTTTAACACAAGTCAAGACCGTCTATATTTGATTTATGGATGTTTGTGATGGTGTTCTTTAATATCATGTCATATCATCGAAAGACGGTGGTTCTTCAGCTGAAAATCATAAACCGTTTCTTTCCACCAAAATGTATTTTAAAATTTACCTTAGTTTATTTTCGTTCACTTTCCGATATATTTACAGAAAGACTCGGTTTAGTTCGGATACTTAGATATTATTATTTTTATAGACTTTACAGAAATGTTGTTTCTTTTGCGACAAACGACGTTTTCAGTCAAATAAAGTAAAATGATAGCAAAAGCTCTCAAATGCTTGTTTCATGAAGCTAAAATAATACCAATACAAAAATATGAATTTTTTAATTGATAAAAGAAGTTCAACTTGTTCAGTTTGCTTTTCACCCTGATCTGGTTTTATCTGAATATGTCTGGGTTGGCTTTGGCTAGTTTGGGTTTCGTTGGGTTAAGTTTGGCTAACTTGAGTGCTTCTTCTTATAGTGCCTATCCGTTCCGGATGTTGGCTATTATGTTGGCAATTCGCACTTGGTTAACAGCGGTGCGGATTAGCTGAGTGGTTCATTGGTTGAACCACGTTTTTTAAATTTTCAACCACGATATTCTCCTTCTGCCCACTCCTCTAGCCCATATACCTTGCCTTGGAGAATCTTCTGCAAAAGGACATATCCGCTCTCATCCCGCATTATATGTCCCAGATATTGTAGCTTTCGAGTCTTAACTGTATTCAGAACTTCTTTTTCCTTTCCCATCGTTCTCAGCACCTCTGTATTGGTTATTTTTCTCTCCAAGGTATTCGTTGGATTTTTCGGTACAGCTATATTTCAAATGCCTCGAGTTTTTTGGAGGAGGCCTTTGCAAGCGTCTTCTTTCGACCTCATAAAAAAGGCCAAACACCCATAGCATCGCAATAGGCCAATTAACGATGCCAGCTGTAAGTCGTGGCTGGTAAAGACTTTTTTCATCTTGATAAATGCTGTTCTTCCTGAAAAATGATTTCCACAGAATGGTCCCAGTTATCATCTACGTTCGTGCCCAAGTATGTGTATTTGTTGACTTTTTCTAAAGGAGTTCCGTCTACCAATAAAGTACCGCGGGTGTTTTGGCGGTTTTTACTGATTATCATAAACTTTGTTTTGTTGGTGTTTATTTCCAAACCAAATGTCGACTGTATGATGTAACACTGTCCATTAGGAGTTGCAAGGAAACTAGGTTGCCTGCAAAAATAACGGTATCATCCGGGTACCTTGCTTGTTGTTTTTCAATCGTTCTCATTTAGCAGGATTCCAGCTTGAGTAACCTGCATGGCTTCTCTGAAGATGCCTTCCGAGTACAGATTGAATATTACAGGAGACAGTATGCATCCCTGTCTCACACCACGCAATATTTGTATCTCTTCCTTTTTACCTCGGTCTACCCTGATTACGGGTTTACGCAGGTTTGTGAGGGTTAATTTGAGATAGTTAGAGTTAGTTTGGGTTGGTTTGGGCAAGTTTGACTTATATCTTCCATGTTAACGGTTAACGTCTGTTAATCAGTAGTTAGAATTAACGTTAATATCTTTTGAGGGTTTTAGGTGACTATCTAGATCGCATTTACAATATAATAGAAATTCATTAAACGTGAGTTGTTTAGAAAAATATTGGATGTTTGAATGCGAAGTGTTATTTGTTATTTTTGTATTTGCTTAGGAGGTTGTCTTTATTGACTTTATGTAGGGAGTTGAATTTGTTTGAATAAGGACGTTGAGTATACAGTAAATAGTTCAAACGTATTGTAGCGGAATCAAAATAGCTTTGATGCGGTTTACTGTTTATGCATATAAAATGTTCAAAAAATAGCAAATTTAACGGTTTCTATGCAGTTTAGCAGGCGAATGTGCAAAGGTATTTTTTGAAAAATCGTATTTTAAAAATCTGTACTAAACACGCTTTGAAAAGTTGTTTAAGAATTGGATTAAGTCGAGATTCAGTTTTAAATCGAAAAATGTTTCAGCTTAGTTGCGATCCCTCTGACTTAAAGAAACCCGACCCTGGTGAGTTTTTCGCACTTTTAGGTGGTTGCGATAGAGAATTACTTTCAGGCATTTTGCAAGTGCGAGTTGCATTTATATTGAGAGCTGCTTGGGAGTAAACCACCTTTTAAGATGGAAGATACTCATTCTTGTGAAACGTCAGGCAGACACTCATGTTCAGTGTTTCAGTAGTAAATTCCTAATTTCACTTGCGTGTTTTTTGAGCTCAATGGATTTGTTTTGAATTGCTTTCATATTGACAGCGTTTGGGTCAATAATAAGAAAAATATCGTCGGCTAATCGTAAATGTCCAAAAACTGCCTAGGTCGAGTCGAAAATGTCGATAATTGCAGATCTGAAGATTCCAGTGTGTTTTTCCACGAGTTCGTTGGATTCCTCGCTTCTCTGAGATTAAAATGATATGAAGTCGAAGCGTTTTGAGATTATTTTTGTTTTATAAAAAAATCGACTTCCAGACTTAGAAATGTGACTTGTGACTTGATGTTTAACGCAGACATAGCCATTTAAGGCTTTTTGTCTTTGCTGGTAGCCTGCAAGAGCCTTGGTGGGTTAGGGGTGTGGGTTTTGGGAGCTTGTGGGACTGAGAGCGAACGAAGAAAAGAAAAAAAGTAGGGGAACGGAGCGAGAAAAGTAGTGGTTTGTGGCGGTTGGTCTTAAGTTTTAAATTTGGAAGAGTTGAGAGTTTAGGTGCTTTCCAGGAGGTTTGGGATGTCGGGAAACACCTGCCTAAGGCGGGTGATTCCAGGGGGGTCTGCCATTAGACTTGTCGGGGTTAGGTAGCGTGGGTTTGGGATAGTTTGGGAAAACGTGTCTTTAATTAGTGGGTTTGGGTGGTTAAGGACGCGAGTTTTGAACTTTTCA